TTCACCACCCAGGCCTCCAGTTAGCCCTCCCGTTTCTCCACCTAGACCTCCAGTTAGCCCACCAGTTGCTCCTCCAAGACCGACTCCCATCGGCGAATACGGTTGTCTTGGCGGCAGGTGTGGTGGTGGAGGTGGGTATGCAGTTGCACCACCGCAACCAGCTGCACCGGTCAGCCCACCGGCCGCAGCAGCACCAGTTAGTCCACCACAGGGTGTAGCAGTCCCACCTAACACAGCCACAACGTCTCAGTCCACCACCACCACGTGAGTCACCTTTTGCAATGTCATGGCCGACTCATCTCAGAAAACCATTCATTTTAGCTGGTGGCTATGCTCAACCGGCTCCATACAAGCGTCGTTTCCATGCAAAGGCCAAAATGCTACGAAAAGTGCGAAAGATGCGACGGGCTGCGAAAGCTTAATCGCATTGCTAATTGTTCTCAGTCGTCTCAGTTTCGAGTTTAACAGTAATAAACTTCATCAGCTATGTGTTACTGCATGCGGTCAGCTGTGAAATCGTGAACTATGATGTGTGATAACCTTCAATCCCGAAGTGACCTCTGAACACTGCGCCGACATTCCCGTTCGGTCAAGTTACAATGATATGACTGCTGGTGTCCACTAACGGAAAGGTGGTCAAAAAAAGGGATGGAAAGTGAAAATATAGCCGAACAGGTGACCATAATGTGGAAATGTATCTCTAGTTACCTCAACAAAAACGGTGCTGAAAAAAAGTAGAAAGAGTGGAAATAATGAGCAGCGAATAGGTCCTAGGTCACTTCTAACTACTCCGTCTAAATGATCCAACTCCTTGGGATTGGCAGTTCCAAACATGGCCTTTCCACACAGTCACGTCCCTCCCTCTCCTCACCTACCACTCGAAGCCGATAGTGCCAGCATTCTGTATTTCTTTGTACTAAGCATCAGTAAGATACTGAAACTTCGCCTCAAAATACCACCAAAGAGATACACTGCGTTGCAAAAATATAAATCCACCTGAAAATTCGCATGATAGGGTGTTTCTGAAAAAGAAAGAAAAATGTGCTCAATATAAATATAATTTCGAGTGTAAACACCAACTTCCATTTCGAAAACACGAAAATTTTTTATTTTCATTTTTCAGAAAAGGGCCACTTTGCCGATTGTGCAAAAATATAAATCCACCCCATGTTTCTCGGTTGAACTTCATTGTTATTTGGCGTAACTGTCAGGTTGTTTCCACTTCCTCTTTCTTAGGTGATGACGGAAGTAACACCGCTGTCGGACTCCGAAAAAAAAGGCGAAATCTGCAAAAGAGTGGGGAGATTTGCCATGCAGACAAACCGCGCGTGATTTGAGCCCCGTTATGTGGTTGTTGAGCATTTCGTCAAGAATCCTGCAGCATGTGGAATCCAGAAGAGCATTGAACCCTTTTCTTCGCGTTTCAGTTGCGATGACCGTAGTGCTAAGACCACTGTTCAACGGAAAATGAGTAGGACACATTTAAAAATCCGGAATCATCGCAAAAATCAAGCCAAGTTTCCCAAGATCAGTGGTCGATCTGGCCGGAGCGAGGCCATATTGGCCGCGCAGTACCTTTTGATGGCTGTCTTCACTTTTCTTACTGGTTTCCTTTTTCAATATGAGTTCCTGTCTCTGCCAAACACACTGCAGAAAAAAAACTGAGAGAAATTCAGACAGACAGTAAAAAGTAGCGTGTAGAAAGCCGAACTTAATGCAGCTGGCGCAGCATGCACACATTATGGAAGAGTTGGCTTGATTTTTGGGATGGCTTTGTGTCTTCAACTGTGCCATACTCATTTTCCGTCGAAGAGTGGTCTCAGAGTTCTTCTAACACACGCCAAACGGTGACTTTCAAGAAATTAGGTTTTTTTGAAGGTTGAGTTCCTGAGCACCCCTTGGGAGAATCGGCTGCTTTTCCCATAACACTACGGTCATCGCAACCGAAACGCGAAGAAAAGGGTTCAGTGCTCTTCTGGATTCCACATGCTGCAGGATTCTTGACGAAATGCTCAACAACCACATAAGCGGGGCTCAAATCACGCGCGATTTGTCTGCATGGCAAATCCCCCACTATTATGT